ACATTAATTTCCTTGCAAAGAGCATACCAACTGTACGAATTTGAAGTATAATCATCATTGGAACATCTCTGCTAAGTGAACATTGCATACCTCTAAGCAAAATATAACTACCAGCTCTGCTCAGCACACATGTACAAACATAGTCTGACTTCACAAAATACATTATGAAATTATTATGAAAATGAATAAAGAAAAATAACATTAAACAATAAAATGTTAGTCTTCATTGTGAAAGAGTTATAAACTATGAACTGAACCAACCATCTATGAGCTATGAACATTACAAACTTTGATTTGAAAAAATATTTGAAAATTAGACAAAAAGGCAAAGGTAAGACTGTGTATTTAACGGTTTTAATGAGGAAAATAACTACAATCCCATGAAGCACTGCGAATGACAAAAATCATCCAGCTCAATTAAGTCTCATCCAATAATGTCAGTGCAGTCAAATTGATAATACTACAGAATATTAAGTGTTTTGTAAACCAAAGGCGACACTGACAAGGAACCAAAACTCCTTCAGGTGACAGTAGTGAAGGAAAAAACACAGGTTTTGTGTGATTTGTTTGTTTCGATTCTTTAATCGGTGGAGATTTAGGGAGAGTCATGGGTAGTGATGGGTAATGTAGTTTTTCATCTGGAATTCTACTGTTTAACATGATTATTTTAAAATAACTTGAAATAATGTGGGCTGATGGCTGTACTAGCCAACATGCCTATACTAGTACAACATCGTAGCTCACAGTAGGTATGTCTTTAATGATTTATAGTTTCCTAAGGAGAAAATGAATAGAACTTTTACTTCTGGAACCTAACTGTTGCACTTTATTGCACATTCTTAGAAGAAATGGTTCTATATAGAACCTTAAAGGGTTCTGTCAGGCACTTCATATATAGAACCTTTTAGGGGTTCCATCATCGGATCATTTTATACATTTTGTTTTAATTCATTTAGCTTTAATTCATTTTTTATTTTGATTAATTTATATTAATTAAACAGCTAGTAAACATGCTTCATCACTGGAAAAGATTGAAATTACTCATTAAACATGAAAGCATTATGCAATAATTTAATGCATTTCTCCTTATAGAGTCTTTTTGGCATAAACTAAAGCGTTTTTGTTTTTGTTTTTTTTATTAAGTCAATAGCCCTAGGGTTCTATATGGAACATTTTCTTCTAAGATAATTTATCTTCTATTTTTCTACATAGCTATACAGTTTCTAGCATGTTCTATAGTATGTAGTTATAAGGAGATTGCTTACTGGCCACATCAAAATTGCTTTGACAGAGCAATAGTAATGTAAATTATTGCCTTAGGATAATGAGCTAGCTAATAAATATTTTTGTTGTTGTTTCTGGTATTAATCCCTTTCACACATCTTCTTCAGGTTGGGAATCTCTATCATCTTCATCAGTTCTCTCGGTAGCACATGATAGATAGTGACCACGTGTTGTTTCTCTGTAACCAGGCAGACTTATGGCCCATGCTACTCTGTTTAATGAGTTTCCGTGGTAACACTCACCAAGGCACTGGCAAGTGCCTCTGGCTGATTATAAACACAGATCTGTTGAAAGCGATGGACATTGGTCTAATTAGTAGTATTTGCTAAGACAAGTGTCACTTTTAGCATTACTCATTCTGAGGAATAGTGATTTGAACAAAGTCCTAACACTAAGTATTTAACTTTGGTTAGAGGCTATGTAAGAATTCTCATGTATTAACCGCTTTTTGTAATACCAATGTGTGAACAGCTTGTAACGAAACTGAAAAAACAACATAGCACCTACATAGCACCTTTTACTTGTCCAATTGTTATACAGACATGAATTGACCTCACACACATAGCAACAACCTAGAAAACAATAGCAAATTAATAGTGCTAAAAACACTCCAAATACTTAAGCAACTGCATATCAACACTTACTGAAGGCAGCCAAATATCAAAACTGTAAATATGGCTCTCAATGTATATTTAACAGTTACTGTTAAGTGTCATACACAATTTCAACTTTAAAATCACTATATAGTAGTAATCATAAACACAGTCTGTTTTCATAAAGGCGCTCAAGGGCTCCTTACCAGTTTTCCTCCCTAACAAAACTCATCTAGCACAGTTTTGTCATTGGTAGAATATAAAATGGGTAAAATATTTCTATACAAGCTTTCCAGTAAATTACAATGAATGTCAAACCTTTGCACAGGAAAAAAATCAGCCTACGGCAACAGTTTAAAAGTGGCGAGGATCTTGGCGGGATTAAGTTAAGTTCAACAAATTGTTGACATGTAGTTAACTAAAAAAGTATTAGTTTTACAGTGATAGATTTTAAATAGTGATCATTTTAAGATTTTCAACCTTTAAGATCTTAACCCTTTGATGCATGAATTATTGAAATAAAAAGTATTCACAAATTATTCAATTATTCTTGTTGTCATAAATTCAAAAGGGCAGATTTAGAATTAAGGGTAAGGGTTGAAAGACCTTGCAGGTATAAGAATGGCTTCTTTGATGATGGTTAACACACGTAAGCGTCACATGTATTTTCTGTTTTGCTTGAGTTCTTGTCCCTGGCTGCGTCCGAAATCGCATACTCTCTTGAGTAGGTACTTATTTTGAATATGTAATTACTTCACGACAGCATAAAAATATGTATAAATGTGTGTATGAATGTAATCTGGACGTACCACATTCGCCGTGTTGTCATTATCATGTGACCTACCAGCGTTCCGTCGCTTGACTGCCATTCACAAATCCTCTCCCCTGGCCTCATGTGATAGTAAAGTGTCCGTTGTAGGCACACTTCAGAATCGAACTCGGCGCTGACTCGGATCAGCGCGGGTATACATGATCTTAAAGTTGGACATCCGGGTACTTTTTGCCTACTCTTACTGTGAATTCAAACACTTCGTTTGTCACTTACTGTTTTTCATCTATTAAATACGTAGTAGGCAACTATGGGATTTCTTCTTCTTCTTGAGTTTAATGGCGGTTGGCAAACCATTTAACGGTGCATTCTATGGGATTTCTGGTGCAGCCAGTGGCGCAAAAAGTGGGTATGCGCTATATGCGGCGCATAGGGGCGCAGCACCATGGGGGGCGCCAAAGCGATAGTAAAAAAAAAAAAAAAAAAAAAAAATTCATAAAAAAAAAAAAAAAAAATATATATATATATATATATATATATATATATATATATATATTGGACTGCTGTTGTGCGTTTTTTAAATCATTTCTGCATTTCTTCAGTTATATAAAATTAGGCTAGAGTAGGCGCCCTCATGGACAAGGGGGGCGAGGTGATATCGCGAGCGGGCAGGGGCGCCGTGAGCGCTGAGCGAGCAGGTACGACCGTACGAGTAGTGAGTTGTCGTCGAAAAAGATGGATAAAACAAAATGCTGTGGGGCTAAAAATAGAAAAAGAAAGCGGGAAAAGGAGATGGCATGTCAACTGATGCGACAGCAGCTAAATAAGTGCATGCTGAAAGCCACCAGGTAGGATTTAAAGTGTGACATGACATCCAGGCATGTAGGCTATCTATATCTCTGTGGCCATCGGGACTACCGGGAGATTCCCGGTGGGCCGACGTGCTTTTTCGGCCGATACATCTCTTCTTCTTTTTTTTTTTTTTGTCTTAACGGCCCATAAAACTCGTACATCGGCGGCCCATTCGGGTTTTTTTTTTTTTTTTTTTTTTTTGCTTAATTGGTGGCGCTGGGTTAGTGCCGGTGTAATGCATTGGTCAAAAAAAGTCAGTGTTAGTTTTTTTTTCTGACACACATAATTTTTTTCATCATGTGCTTATATCTTTCAAGTATAGAAATTAGTACAAAACTAATTATGAAAGTTTCCTTTATTTTTCAGTGCATTTGTTTTACAATATAGGCCTATGGCTATTACTATCATGGGATTAATATTATAACTATTATTATGTAGTAGTGTAATGTAGACAGACACTAACTAAAAGAGGTTTGAATTTTTCTTTGTTTAATTTGCACCCTGAATATGGGTTCGAGCTTTTAATTTTGAACTCTCAAAGTGAACCAGACTGCTGAATTTAACATTAAAGAACACAAAATTTTCTTACGGGGGGGGGGATGCCCCCGAACCCCCCTAGAGAAACAGAGGTCCACCTACCACAGTTTTACCTAAAATCCTGTGAGAAACACTGGTATTGCTGTTCCAATGGAGCTTATAGTTTTTTAGGGGGGTTCATCATGGTGGAGTAGCTATAGTTTAATTGTATTAATAAATGACAATTCTGCACTTTTATCTGTTAGCTCTCACTCGTTCCTACTCACTTATTACATGGCACACTTAGGCCTATTTATTTTTCTTTTTTTGAGAGGGGGGGTTCAGGGGCGCAAAAATTGTTGCTGCATACCCCTCTGACACGGGGTAGTTGCGCCCCTGGGTGCAGCCCATGTGTTTTGGTCTTTGTTATCAGTTTCCCCGCCACTTGTTTGTTACTAGGTTCCTGATTAGTCCTCACCTGTTCGTTGTTCTGTTGATTGCCATCCCTGTGTATTTAAGCCCTCAGTTTCTTCGGTCCTTTGTCTTGCGTTGATCTTTCTATTGTTAAGCTAGTGTGTTACTCTGTTCCTGTGTTAATTAAAACTCCTTTTGGATTATATATACACAGCAAGTGTGACACTAGTGTCTCTAGATAAAAAACATAAAATGTTTGAGAAATATCAATACAGTGCCTTCTTGCACACAGTGTAACACTTAAATGGCCTCCGAGCAGAGGAAAGATCTCTTGATGCACTAAATTATGTCAGTTATGAAACACGTTTAATCAGTAAAGCTTGGTTATTACTTTAAATTTGTTCATTATCAGGCCCAGATTAATCTGTTTACCAACCACAGAGGAGATTCCCATATGAATTTGAAAACTATAAATGATTCACCATTGTGCATGTTAATTATTGTCACTATATTGTACAGTCACATGTGTCTGTGTACACCACGGATTAATGTGTCTACATGTGTGTTTGCAGTACCTGCATGAGAATGGTGTAGTGCACAGAGACCTGAAACCTGAGAACCTGCTGTACGCCACATCAGCGCCAGATGCTCCGCTCAAAATAGGTAAGGCTCTCCATTCGCTTGATATGGGGAACTGCAGTTTGGCAAACCATCTCTTGTTGGTGAATTAGCTTGCAAACATACAACATGAACCTGTTGTGCATTAGAGAAACATTCACTGTAAGATTTAAAGGAAGAATAATCACTGAAATTATGTCATATTCAAATGTAGCTGTCACTGTTCATTTGTAATTCCTCACTCATAGTTTGGGTTAAGGATTTGAACTCATAAGCGGAAGTATTAAACTTCAGCATGTGACTTAATGTCATGAAAAGCGGTCCAGGTCAGGTTTTATCACAAAAGCAAACTTAATTTATTAATCCAAACTTATTGGAATGCAGAAAAAAATATTTCCATATACTAAGCACTATAAGCACGAGTATTTATTTATTTATTTATGAAAGAATGAAGCATTCTAATAAGGTAATTTGGTGCTTAGGAAAAAAATATATTTTTAGGATTCTTTGAGGAATAGAAACTTTAGTTCAAAAGAACAGCATTTATTTGAATTATTTTATGTAACAGTCTTCACGGTCACTTTATTGTTGATGCATTCTTGCTAAATTAAACTGTTAGCCTAATTTCTTTAAAAAAAAAAAAAAAAAGTCTTACTGACCAGTTGTATACATACACTCACCTAAAGGATTATTAGGAACACCTGTTCAATTTCTCATTAATGCAATTATCTAATCAACCAATCACATGGCAGTTGCTTCAATGCATTTAGTGGTGTGGTCCTGGTCAAGACAATCTCCTGAACTCCAAACTGAATGTCAGAATGGGAAAGAAAGGTGATTTAAGCAATTTTGAGCGTGGCGTGGTTGTTGGTGCCAGACGGGCCGGTCTGAGTATTTCACAATCTGCTCAATTACTGGGATTTTCACGCACAACCATTTCTAGGGTTTACAAAGAATGGTGTGAAAAGGGAAAAACATCCAGTATGCGGCAGTCCTGTGGGCGAAAATGCCTTGTTGATGCTAGAGGTCAGAGGAGACTGGGCCGACTGATTCAAGCTGATAGAAGAGCAACTTTGACTGAAATAACCACTCGTTACAACCGAGGTATGCAGCAAAGCATTTGTGCAGCCACAACACGCACAACCTTGAGGCAGATGGGCTACAACAGCAGAAGACCCCACCGGGTACCACTCATCTCCACTACAAATAGGAAAAAGAGGCTACAATTTGCAAGAGCTCACCAAAATTGGACAGTTGAAGACTGGAAAAATGTTGCCTGGTCTGATGAGTCTCGATTTCTGTTGAGACATTCAGATGGTAGAGTCAGAATTTGGCGTAAACAGAATGAGAACATGGATCCATCATGCCTTGTTACCACTGTGCAGGCTGGTGGTGGTGGTGTAATGGTGTGGGGGATGTTTTCTTGGCACACTTTAGGCCCCTTAGTGCCAATTGGGCATCGTTTAAATGCCACGGCCTACCTGAGCATTGTTTCTGACCATGTCCATCCCTTTATATACACATCCTCTGATGGCTACTTCCAGCATGATAATGCACCATGTCACAAAGCTCGAATCATTTCAAATTGGTTTCTTGAACATGCCAATGAGTTCACTGTACTAAAATGGCCCCCACAGTCACTAGATCTCAACCCAATAGAGCATATTTGGGATGTGGTGGAACGGGAGCTTCGTGCCCTGGATGTGCATCCCACAAATCTCCATCAACTGCAAGATGTTGTCCTATCAATATGGGCCAACATTTCTAAAGAATGCTTTCAGCACCTTTTTGAATCAATGCCACGTAGAATTAAGGCAGTTCTAAAGGCGAAAGGGGGCAAACACAGTATCAGTATGGTGTTCCTAATAATCCTTTAGGTGAGTGTATATATGTATTATATATATATATATATTCAAAGGTTTGTGGTCAGTAAGACATTTTTTTAAAGATATTTACATTTTTTATTAGAAAGAATGTATCAAGAATGCTTTATTGTATTCAATAATTTTAACACTAAGAATAAAAAAAAAACATTTGAGATAGATAGATAGATAGATAGATAGATAGATAGATAGATAGATAGATAGATAGATAGATTTTTTTGTTAATCTGTTTTTATTTGGTGTGATTTATCTTTACAGCAGATTTTGGTTTGTCGAAAATTGTAGACGATCAGGTAACAATGAAGACTGTGTGTGGGACTCCAGGCTATTGTGGTGAGTTCATTAAAGAGTGTTTTAACAGAGCACCATCTGTGGCTTATTTCCACATAGAGAATTACAGATTTTTTTTAAAATTCTTTTTACAGCATCAGTGCAGCAGAGCGTCTCCTCCCCCCTTTATTCTTTTCTTCTGATGTTCTTTCTTTCTCTTCCTCAGCTCCTGAGATTTTACGGGGATGTGCCTATGGCCCCGAGGTTGACATGTGGTCTGTGGGAGTTATCACGTACATTTTGTGAGTGGCACGGCATACTTGTCTAAAGTTATTCTCTCACAAGAATGCTCTGCTTAGTCATTCCATCTCTCTGTCATATCAATCACGAGAGGCTGGTTTTGTCTCAGATCAGCCTCACTGGTAAAAAGTGTGAAGCACGTTTTGAACTTTTGTGTGTAATTCTAGGAATTTGATATAAATTATTTTACAAAAAGTAAACTCTTTGTCAAAAACGTTTTAAAAATGTCATCATTTAGCCTACATGCTATTAAATCCATTTGACCCATTTGTAAGGAACCAGCTAGTTATGGTGCGTTCTATTATAGCCAACGAACCGACTCGGACCTCGATATGACGTCACGTCCACACTTCAAGCGTTCTATTATGTTTTGCGCGTCCGAGTCGGAGAAAAAAATGGACGCCACCCGGAAAGCTGTTGTAATGGTAGCACTGGCCGAGTACCAGGCGCTCCAAAATAAGTATGTGCTTCACCTGCAATGTTCAGGTGTTCACTTTATTTAATAATGAAAATGTGTTCAGGTGTTCACTTTATTTAATGTTTTTCATGTTAATCTTCTGTTAGCAACGTTAGTAATTGCACTCACAACAACCGATTCCCATACCTACAGGGGACGCAGTAATACGAGTGATTATATTTGTCATTTAAAATACCAAAGCGGTTCAAAAACAATGAAAACAATTCACTTACAATTCACACAGGGCGCAGCCATCTTGAATTCCGAAACGGAATTCTTGCTCGGTGTCCTCACGGTTGTCTGACGTCCGAGAGGAGAAATCCGAGGAAAGGGGGCGTGTTGCTAGGCAACGTCTGTCTTCCGATTCGGATCTCCGAGACGGATAAATAATAGAACGCACCATTATTCACTGAAAAACTCTGCCATAGCTCTCAAATTTAATCCTGAAAACAAATTTTTCTTATGTATTCCTATGAAATTCAAGTGAAATAGGCATTAATGTTTATACACTTTCTAACCACAGGGGATAATATTTAGATGTACTGTATACAAGACGATCTTAAAAAGTAGCACAAATTAGCAAAGTAGCTAGTACCTACATAAAGGTAGCGAAGTACCTATAAAGTTGCACAAATTAGAAAAAGAAAACTGCTCAGTTCCAGATTGAATATGTAAAATTTTTACTATTAAGACTGCACATACAGACATTAGTCTTGTAGTTTTAATTTTAATAAGTAGTAATTTAATTTGCAGTATTTCTCATGGTTTGTTTCTGTTTTGGGTGTCAGTTTCCATGTTTTTTCATTGTTTGATTATTGGTTGTACCTGTTCTCCATTTCATTGATTGTTTGGTTCTAAGCCCTGAGCTCAGGGGTGTATTCCAGAAAGCAAGGTTATCTTACCGTCAAACATACCCTGAGTAAGTTAATCCAACTTATGTATGTTAACGGTTAACACACCAGACATTCTCAACAGAGCGTTGAATCGACGAGTCACCATGGAAACGGACGCTAAGAAAAAGTGTACCATACTGCTAATTTCTTCTTCTTTTGTTAGATGCTAATTTATATACTTTTTTCAATCTTTTTGTTTAATAATCTGTAATCACAGTGAATAAGAACTATATAGTTTGTTTGGTGATAGTTATATAATAAAAACAAAGACTGATTAAACTAAATAACAGTCTGTGCTTGCAAAGATAACATGGCTGTAGACGTTTATTTTTTGTTTAGTCATTTTGCTTCCACATTGCTTGAAAGGTAAGATGTATATCATATCACATATGTATTTTATTATAGAAATACATTATAGCATAGAAAACGTCCTGTTGCAAAATAAACAAAAAACGTCTGAATGCAGATGAACGATGTGTGAGATGAGAATTATATAGGCTAGCTATATATATTATAATAAAATTAACATTACCTTGTTTTAATAGCACTTTATATATCGATATAACTTCCGGTATATATATATTTAATATTGTGTGCAATCTATCACGCCCACTGAAGCCTCATCATTCGGGCACGCATCGCATGCGCTGAACACCTCTGAAGTAAACTAACTCTGGTAAAGAACCTGCTCCGGAGCAGGTTATGTTCAGGTATAAGTTGCTATGGCTACTTACATACCCTGAAAGTTAACTTAAACATACTCGGGTATGTCACATAACCTGCTATCTGGAATATTTTGGAATGGCACTCACGTTAATTTGCAATGTTTATTAAATCTGGCCCGCCGCCCTTCGTATTTTCCATTCAAGATACATATATATATATATATATATATCTATTCATGTATCTATATATCTATTCAATATTTATAATACTATTATCATAATATTTATTATTTTCTGCATGCCTATATTGCATAAAAATACTAAGTAATATATATTATAGTATACACTACCAATAAAAAGTTTGGAATAATACGTTTTTTTTATAAAGAATTATCTTATGCTTACCATGGCTGCATTTATTTGCTTAAAAATACAGTAAAAACAGTAATATTGTAAAATATTATTACAGTTTAAAAGAACTGTTTTCCATTTTAATTTTAAAATTTAATCTATTCCTGTGATGGCGATCATTACTCCAGTCTTCAGTATCACATGATTATTTCTGAAATCATTTTAATATGCTGATTTGGTGCTCAAGAAACTTTTTTTATTATTATCAATGTTCTAAAAAGTTTTTGCCTCTTAATATTTTTTTTTTTTTGTGGAAACCATTATACATTACCATTCAAAAGTTTGGGGTAAGATTTTTTAAAGGAAATAAATATCTTTATTCAGCAAGGATGTATTCAATTGATAAAAAAATGACAGTATAGACGTTTATAATTTTAGAAAAGATTTCTATTTCAAATAAATGTTGTTCATTGAGCTTTTACGGTTTCCACAAATATATGAAGTAATATAAATGTAAATTATACAATTATATGATTGAGCACCAAATCAGCATATTGTCACGGAACACACACAGGAGGCTGAAAATCCAAATGCAGTAATTTTAATTTAAAGGGCAATCCAAACTCATAGTCATCCAGGCAGGGGTCAAAATCCAAAACAATCCAAACACGAACACAAGCACAAGCACAAGCACAAAACCAGCAACACGAAAGCAGACCAGGAAGTGGTGTGACATTATACAACGACTCCGTACACATACTAACACAGAAAGGGAATATATACACATATCTAACAAGACTAACACAGAACAGCTGGGAACAATGATTACGGGGAACAGCTGAGTGCAATGAACTGATGAGTGACAGTGACAGACAGAATGCTGGGAATTGAAGTCAAATGTGAAGGACACCGTGAGAACGAGGACCTCTAGTGATAAACAAGGGAACACCACCAAACACTGTGACATAACCCCCCCTCTACGGAGCGGCTACCATACGCTCCACGACAACACGACACAAGAGTTCAGGAGGGAGGTGGAACGGTGGAGGATCAGGGTGGGCCAGGTCCGTGAAGGGAGACAGGAACAAGGGGTGAGGGCTTAACCGGGGACCAGGGCAAAATAGAGAGTCCATCGGGCGGCCAGGGCGGTGAAGACCCCTCGGGCGGCCAGGGCGGTGAAGACCCCTCGGGCGGCCAGGGCGGTGAAGACCCCTCGGGCGGCCAGGGCGGTGAAGACCCCTCGGGCGGCCAGGGCGGTGAAGACCCCTCGGGCGGCCAGGGCGGTGAAGACCCCTCGGGCGGCCAGGGCGGTGAAGACCCCTCGGGCGGCCAGGGCGGAGACGTCCCCTCGGGCGGCCAGGGCGGAGACGTCCCCTCGGGCGGCCAGGGCGGAGACGTCCCCTCGGGCGGCCAGGGCGGAGCAGACAGTCCATCGGGCGGCCAGGGTGGATCCGGCTGTGCAGGCGGCCGGAACGGGGCAGGTCCTTCGGGCTGCCACGGCGGTGAAGACGCCTCAGGCGGCCACGGCGGAGACGACCAGGTCGACCACGGCACAGGAACGGAACCCGGCTCAGGAACAGCAACGGAACCCGGCTCAGGAACAGCAACGGACACCGGCTCAGGAACAGCAACGGACACCGACCCGGCGGCGGCCATCCTGTCTGGGGACACAGGAATAACGAACACAGGCATGTCCAGTATCCGAGCCAAACACTCAAAATAGTCGCTCAGTATACCCCCGGCTGCGAGAATGGGTATTTCCTGATCCGTCTCTGACTGGGCAGACGGGACGTGAACAGTCTCTGGCTGGGCAGACGTGACTTGAACAGTCTCTGGCTGGGCAGACGGGACGTGAACAGTCTCTGGCTGGGCAGACGTGACGTGAACAGTCTCTGGCCGGGCAGGCGTGACGTGAACAGTCTCTGGCCGGGCAGACGTGACTTGAACAGTCTCTGGCCGGGCAGACGTGACTTGAACAGTCTCTGGCCGGGCAGACGTGACTTGAACAGTCTCTGGCCGGGCAGACGTGACTTGAACAGTCTCTGGCCGGGCAGACGTGACTTGAACAGTCTCTGGCCGGGCAGACGTGACTTGAACAGTCTCTGGCCGGGCAGACGTGACTTGAACAGTCTCTGGCCGGGCAGACGTGACTTGAACAGTCTCTGGCCGGGCAGACGTGACTTGAACAGTCTCTGGCCGGGCAGACGTGACTTGAACAGTCTCTGGCCGGGCAGACGTGACTTGAACAGTCTCTGGCCGGGCAGACGTGACTTGAACAGTCTCTGGCCGGGCAGACGTGACTTGAACAGTCTCTGGCCGGGCAGACGTGACTTGAACAGTCTCTGGCCGGGCAGACGTGACTTGAACAGTCTCTGGCCGGGCAGACGTGACTTGAACAGTCTCTGGCCGGGCAGACGTGACTTGAACAGTCTCTGGCTGGGCAGACGTGACTTGAACAGTCTCTGGCTGGGCAGACGTGACTTGAACAGTCTCTGGCTGGGCAGACGTGACTTGAACAGTCTCTGGCTGGGCAGACGTGACTTGAACAGTCTCTGGCTGGGCAGACGGGACGTGAACAGTCTCTGGCTGGGCAGACGTGACGTGAACAGTCTCTGGCTGGGCAGACGTGACGTGAACAGTCTCTGGCTGGGCAGACGTGACGTGAACAGTCTCTGGCTGGGCAGACGGGACGTGAAACAGTCTCTGGCTGGGCAGACGTGACTTGAACAGTCTCTCGCTGGGCAGACGTGACGTGAACCGTCTCTCGCTGGGCAGACGGGACGTGAACCGTCTCTCGCTGGGCAGACGGGACGTGAACAGTCTCTCGCTGGGCAGACGGGACGTGAACAACCTCTGGCTGGGCAGACGGAACGTGAACAGTCTCTGGCTGGGCAGTCTCTGACTGGGCAGACGAAATGTGAACAGTCTCTGGCTGGGCAGACGAAATGTGAACAGTCTCTGGCTGGGCAGACGGAAGTCTCCTCCTCCTCCGTCCTTTCTGACGGATGTGTGCCGACTCTGCACTGGACGAAACCATCGACGAAGTCCCAGCGCTCGATGAGACCCGTGGTGAGGCTTCAGCTGTCCTGATCTCCTCGTGCCTTTGTGCACATCTAGAAAAGTATTCTAGTAAAGAGATTCCATTCTCTCTCTCTGCAGGAGAAAGTTCGCTACGTGGAATCCACATAGTGACTGGGGACGAGATCTTACAAAAAATAATAATAAAAAATGAAAATTACCGCTGGATTAAAGGGGGACGGAGTCGTTCTGTCACGGAACACACACAGGAGGCTGAAAATCCAAATGCAGTAATTTTAATTTAAAGGGCAATCCAAACTCATAGTCATCCAGGCAGGGGTCAAAATCCAAAACAATCCAAGCACAAGCACAAGCACAAGCACAAGCACAAGCACAAGCACAAGCACAAGCACAAGCACAAGCACAAGCACAAGCACAAAACCAGCAACACGAAAGCAGACCAGGAAGTGGTGTGACATTATACAACGACTCCGTACACATACTAACACAGAAAGGGAATATATACACATATCTAACAAGACTAACACAGAACAGCTGGGAACAATGATTACGAGGAACAGCTGAGTGCAATGAACTGATGAGTGACAGTGACAGACAGAATGCTGGGAATTGAAGTCAAATGTGAAGGACACCGTGAGAACGAGGACCTCTAGTGATAAACAAGGGAACACCACCAAACACTGTGACACATATTAGATTGATTTCTGAAGGATCATGTGACACTTAAACCTTAAGTAATGGCTGCAGAAAATTCTGCTTTGCCAGCACAGAAATAAATTACATTTTAAAATACATTAAACTGTTAAAAGTTATTTTAAATTGTAAATATATTTTACAATATTACTGAATTTGATATTGTTTTACAGTATTTTGAAGAGGTTGCTGTTAAATCTAGTATTGTTAAACATTGTTTCTGTTTTTGTTCTATCTATAGGTTATGTGGTTTTGAACCCTTTTTTGATGACAGAGGAGACCAGTACATGTTTAAACGCATCCTGAACTGTGAATATGAATTTGTCTCCCCCTGGTGGGACAATGTGTCTCTCAATGCCAAGGACCTTGTGAGTAAATCTCAATATATATATAAAATCATTATAAACCTCTAAAAAATCCAAATATTTTAGGTATACAAACAGCACACACACAGAGGAACATTTATTGATGTCTTTTAAGTTATTTTTTATACTTTAAAATAGTAAATGTTCAGTTCTAATGAATGATCTGTGTTTGCCCCTGAAATAAACGCACACCTGTGAGTGCACATCAGTTCAATTCTATTTCAGTACATTATTACACTACATTTATCCTAATGGAACTATATCACTTTGTGGAGGAATTATATGAGTAATTGATTATTATTGTTAAGAAAAGGATTTTTAAGTAAAACATTAGTTTTGTAATTTTGTTGTTACTGCCAGTTCATTAAATCTGTTACATGTTGTGCCTAACAACACCTCTTAACCAGTAAATCACTATAATACACACACAAGATATATTATATATTTATGTTGCAAAATAATATGTTAATTTTTTTTACATATTCAAATACTGCATTCCTTCATATGGTACAGTGTGCATATTTTAAATTTAACTAGTCTGAAACGTAATAACTTTCATTCTAAACAACTTTTTTAGTTTTCTTGGTTACACTTTATTTTTAAGGTTCCCTTGTTACAGTAATATTAATTAACTACATGTACTATAGGGTTAAGGTTAGGATTAGGGTTTGGTTTAGGGTTAGTTGCATGTAATTATGCATAATTTACTGTTATTACTACAGTAAGTACATGTAACAAGGACACTGTCAAATAAAGTGCTACCATTTTCTTTCATGATAGGCAAATAAAAATGTGGTGGGGTGGTGTTAGCCAAGAATTTTTTTCTTTCTTTTTTTGGAATTCCACTTATAATAAATGTCCCCATTACCTGACAGATATCACTGAAATACAGTAGGTGTCCTGAAATATCACACATCTCTGTGACCGATCTACACTCTTAAAGTCCCACTGTAGTCAATAATGTTATCCCTTAAAACTCCCCAAAATGACATATTTAAGCGTTTTTTCCTTGAAAAAAATGCATCATGCCTTAAAATAGCTTGAATGTAACTCTACACCCTTGCCTCATTTAGTATGCGCGGTCTAATGAATATGCAAATTACCCCCGCCTCCACTCACTCGCACCAGCTCAGAGATCCACCCGTTGACGATCACATGTTGACATGATTGGTTTCAAGGTAGTTTGTGACGTCAGAAAAACCAGCGATTTCAAACTGCGTTTTTGAGACTGTCTTTGGTTCACTGCAGTTTTAAGGAGAAAATACTCCGCAATGGTGTTGGCTTATAAATTTGCACATGGTTTGTCTCAAAGCAGATTAAAAACACCACATAGACATGCAAACAACATTAAAATCTTAATTTTCACCACAGAGGGATTTAACAATTAAGGCAGTGATGCCATAGAAGAATTTTGGGTTCCACAAAGAACCTTACTGGACAACCTTACTTATATCTCCTTTTGTGAAGAACATTTTAATGAACATTTTCCATTAAATACCCTTTTGTGCAATGATTTTTTCAAATCCACATTTGAAACCTCAAAGTGTTGCTGAAAGTGTTACTGAAAGTGTAACTTGTCTTTCTTGGCTCCATAGGTGAAGAAACTGATTGTCCAGGATCCAAAGAAACGGCTGACGACGCAGCAGGCGCTGCAGCACCCCTGGGTGACTGGAAAGGCGGTTAACTTCACCCATATGGACACTGCTCAGAAGAAACTCCTGGAGTTCAATGCTCGAAGAAAACTCAAGGTTTGAGGCTTTTGGCTCAATGACGCATTTTTATGAAGGTTTTAACCCGGTAAAGCCATACATTAGGCATATTTGATATGCAAAATTCTAAGGCCTCGAAATTATCAAAATGATCAAGAATTTGCCCAAAAACCTGTTCTACACAATCTAATACATGCCTTCTGGCATCTGATTAATTTTGATTTATATTTGATTGATAATTAGTTTATATTTTTCTGCAAGTAAAAGTCCTTTAAGTACAGTGCTTAGCATAAGTGAATACACCCATGCTAAAAATCATCTTTTGGAAATTGATCTTAATGCCCTAATTAAAAAAAATGAGGAAAAATCAAACTTTCTTTGTGAATGAATAATGTTTCGTAAATAAATAAATGTTCTTCCTTAAAATACAGGGGGCATAAGTCAGGACACCCCTATGTTAAATTCCTATATTATGATTTTTATTTTTAAAGGCCAGTTATTTCATGGATCCAGGATCCTATGCATCCTTATAAAGTTCCCTTGGCCTTTGGAAGTAAGATAGCCCCACATCATTACATACCCTTCACCATACCTTGAGATTGGCATGGTTTTATTTCAGTTAGCCTAATAGCTGGTCTGATTTGCATTGAAAGATGATCTTATTGAAAGAACCCCATGCCAATCTCTAGGTATGTGATGATGTGGGGCTATTTTAATTCCAAAGGCCAAGGGAACTTTATCAGGATGCATAGTATCCTGGATCCATGAAATAACTGGCATCTGTGAATACACATCATGGGCCCTATCTTGCACTCGGCGCAAATGACTTTGTACACTGACGCATGTATCATTCCTATTTTGCACCCGCGCAAAGCGGGCTTTTCCCTCCACAGACACACGTCGGTTAACTAAGAAATACACTTGCGCTCCCCGGGGCGGTTCAGCGCAAAGAGGAGGCGTGTTCCGGCGCAAACTTTCCCTCATGCTATTTTGCTGTTCTATAAAACAAATGCGCCACTGACCAGAAAAAACCTAGTCTAAAGTCAGTGGCGCGTTGCGCGTTGTTCATTATGCTATTTTAAGGGCGCATGATAGATAGATAGATAGATAGATAGATAGATAGATAGATAGATAGATAGATAGATAGATAGATAGATAGATAGATAGATAGATAGACAGACAATTTATTATAAAAGTATACATGTAGCTTACACATTTACCCAAATTATCATACGCCTGTTTAACAGAAGTTAATTTGGGTGGGTTTCTCCATCCCCAATGTCACTTCTCTGTGTTTTACGGCCCTGACGAAAACGTTGCTCTCCTCGGCTATGAACCGCTCCTGGCGCGCGCCTGGCAAATCCGCCGTTATAATGGGAATCCGCTTTAGAACAAGCGCGCCTGCTCTTAAAGGGAATGTGAGATGGCGCTCTGATTGGTTTATTTCACGTTACGCCCAAACCACACCTATGAATAATGAAGCTACTTCAGACCAACCCCTTTTAGATTTGCGCCAGGCGTAAGAGGCATTTATCCCGCCGGGAAAATAGCAACAGCGCCGGGATCCGCCCACAAAGTTACTTGCGCTTTGCGCTTTGACACTTGCGTTTCAGATCGTTAAAATAGGGCCCCATGTGTATTCACTTATGCTAGCTAAGCACTGTATGTCCACCTTCCGTCCATGCTGAGACATTTTGAAAACTGAGCTTTTTGAAAACGCTTTACCAAGTGGATAAATTTGAAAACAGCGTTTTCGTGTTGTAGTGTGGACTGTGAAAACGGAGGTATTAGAAAACGATGAATCATGTTTAATCATGTGATGCATATTAAACCAATAGATATCTATGTTTATACCGATATCGTGCCTGTTATGTGCTATTCACTTTCACACGGTTGCTAAAGATATGTTACTTTGTTATGTTACTTTCATATCGCCGTCCTGCAAAGATGATAGAAAATTTACTCGCAAACATGAGATCAGTTGCGTTTTTGACCAAACATATAATGGTGACTGAGTGCGATCTGGATGCATCAGTGAATGGTGAGATATTTTGCTAAATAAAATGATCCTGTCAGAAGAAGAGCGTGAGAACTTTATTATGTGTGTTCCGTCTGTATCATCTCAGTGAGCTTTTGTGAGGGTTTACGCATGCACAGTAACTTGATTTTTGCGTTTTCTGGCGTTTCAGTGTGGATGAGAAACCTTTGGAAAACGCTAGTGTGGACGGAGAGCGTTTTGAAACGAAAATGCCGTTTTCAAATGTATCCGGATTAAAGGCAGGGTAGGCAGAAATCCCCAAAAATACTTTTTTCCAAATTTGTTTAAACTGTCTTTATATATCAATGCATAATTAAAATGTAAGTAATCTGGAAAAGAAATGATAAAAATCGAGTGTCTGTAGTCCTCTCAGGACTGCAATAAACACAGCTCATTATTCCATTAACTCCCACCCCCTCCCTTCTCGGCTCCTTCCAAAGCCACGCCCCCAAAACACATGAACGCGTGATCCCGGCCGTTCGCTCAGCTGGAAGAGTCGGATGCGTTTACCAGCGCCGAGCAGAGAGGAGTCGACACCAAAGTTACACTGTCATAGCTAAGCCAGTGTAACGTTAGTTATGCTACGTAACGTTAGGTAGCTATATTAGGTGTGCTAGTGATACATGCTTCATGAAAAAATAAATGCCATCAAAATGAAAACAGCGAGATTACCTGTCCAGCAGAAATAATGCCATCATGGAGTCACTTTTCAGCCCCTTGAGATCCCTCAGTTGTCGCCACCGCTGGAAAGCCACGCCGATATTGACTCTCGTATGATTTCTTGATTTATCCAATTACTTTTTGTTCATAGCCTTTTCAAATACTGTCTTCCTTTTTTTAACTTGTTTGACTTCGCTGCCTGTATATGCATGTACTGAGCATTTTGACTGTTCTTTCTCTGCCATAATTGTTATTACTAGCTTCCGTGCCTCTTCAAACGGGTGCGCGCATTTGGGCTGCTCCTGTATCAGCAGAGGTGGTATCCATGGTAGCAAGGGGGAGTGACAGAGTCGCCCCAGCCAATATTTTCTTTCGCCCCGAATGGAATAATGAGCTGTGTTTATTGCAGTCCTGAGAGGACTACAGACACTCGATTTTTATCATTTCTTTTCCAGATTACTTACATTTTAATTATGCATTGATATATAAAGGCAGTTTAAACAAATTTGGAAAAAAGTATTTTTGGGGATTTCTGCCTACCCTGCCTTTAATGTAGACGTAGCCTAAGAGGGATGACAGGCCATGGTGGAGCCAAGGTGAAGCTGATGGGTTGACGGGGCGAGGTGGAATCCGGGGCTCGGAGGCTTGAGGTCAACGAAGGAGAAGCCGAAGGGACTAATTTATATACTAACGCAGACCAATGAAAGGAAACGAGAAATAGGTGTTGCGAATTAATCAAACAATGAATCGCCATAAAAACTAATGCATACTGTACATAGGTACAGAACAGGAAACAAAACCAACCAAGAATACAACTAAACAAAACTCAGACAACACATGACTACAGATCAGATCAGATTCCTGAAACATCTTCTTTGTTTTTTCTTTTTTTTTCAATCTCTTTGAATAATCTCTACATTCAAATGAATGTGGACTGAACTGGATATGACTTCAATGAATCCAAACTGTGGTAATGTTTTTGTATTAAGACAACAAAGAACAACTTTGTATTGTAGTACAGAGATTGCTTAAGTGCATTTATTCAGGAACCAAAATCGCAAGCAATAAAGTCAAAATTCATGTTTGGATTTATTACAGTTGATCGCTGAGAAGATTTTCTCACAGATTTAGTTTTAATGTTTGAGTAACTTTTCCTTTAATAATCATAACTAATTATTAAAGGCCCACTGAAGTGCCTTGGAACACGCAGCTTTGTATGATGCGTTGACGTAATTTCCACTGAAACAGGAAGCTAAGGCGGGACATATTGAATGGCTCCTCCCCCTTTTTAAATAGCCAATAGCATTTAGTTTACCTTACAGACTGCAATTCGTACTTGACAGCACAATGGAAGCGAATCCGAACGCTGATGATACATTGGATTCAATAGTAGAGGTGTGAATAAATTCTAGCCATTTCATTCTTAACAACGTACAGTTGGAAAACGGAATAAAACTCGAGCGTTTGAGCAACCGAACACACATCTCCAACCCATATTGCTCCGTGACGTGTCAAAGGTCGCATTGGCCAGGTATTTATAGCATAGGGGGCGGGACGCTTTAGATTCTAGAGAGTAATTGATTGGACAGAAGATGTGATGAGAACCTGACGTCCGCGGTGATGTCATAAAAATCCGAGATCCATTTTAGCGGAAGTGAGAGACTATAACTTTTGAATGCTTATATCTCCTAAATGCGAATTTTCTCATTGTTTTAGAACACACCGGCTTATTCATAACCTAACATATTCATACTAAAAGCTAAAAAACTTACATTTTGATTTCAGGGGCCCTTAATTTTTGAGCAAAATATTTGTAAAATATCAGTTTAAACATTACCTTGCAGCATAATGTGCTTAAATATAAAAGTAATCAAATTCTAAACACAATGCACACCTCTATGTTTCCACAGGCAGCGGTCAAAGCGGTGGTAGCTTCATCTCGACTGGGCAGCGCAGGAAGCCACGGCAACCCAGACGGCAACAAAACCAACTGCAGCCCCTCCTCCGTCAAAGAGAAGACAGCAGAGGATCAGCCAGACACTGAACAGCCTCAGATTCAGAATGAAGTCTCTTAGATCTCCTCAGAGCCTCACTGGAACTCAAACTTCTTCCCTTCATGAAAGGAACATGTTGCTTTTTGCAGTGGGCCTCTTAAAGGACAGAAACGACGGGCTTTTGTTTGGTTCTTCTGCATGCGGACTGTTTGTCTATAGAAACGTCCCACATTGTGACTCAGCCAGTTGCCATATCACGCCAACATTTGATATGTCCGTAAATTCGGATTTTGTACAGTGAATGAGCATCATTGGATGGTAATGAGAAGAACCAAATCTACTGTATATCAGTAAATATTTATGTCATCATGCTTTTGCTGAGATAATTGCCAAATTATCATAGTACTTTCAAGGGCATATGTTGCTTTTTAGTTGTATTAATCACATTTGTGCTGCATTCAATTAAAATAATCATTTTATTTGTTGAGGTTTTTTACATAATATTGGTCACTGGTAGAAAGATGCGGATATTGAACTGAACCTTTACATACTGCAAGCTTCAACTGAATGCCTTATAACATGTTTTTATATTTCCTAAGTTATTTCAAAGTTATTTAATATTTTAGAAATACTACTAAACAGTTTATTTTAAACTTAGAAAACAAGTATATTGTGCTTTGTTTAAATAAAGAGATGGTGATTTTTTTCTTTTTTCTTTACTGGTCTAAATCTGTTGAGACAGGATATATATATCTAACACAAAAATTGCAATGAAAAACACTCCCTTGTGCCAAAATGGTCTTTATTTGAAGTACACTTTCACCATCTCATTTAAAGTCCTGCTTATTTAGGCATGTCCCTTTAAAATAAATCAAAACTATCAGGTTTATATCTAAATGACTTACTGGCAATAGACTTCCTCAGAATCCAGTGCTTTACCAAGGAATCTGTGTTTTGGTTTTAAAACGCACAGAAGAGCATGGAGGAGTTTTGATCCTATTCAATATTCTTTAACGCATGCTTGTAATGTACGGTACGAGGGAATGCTGTTTCATAATCTGATAATCACATGTAAGGAATGTAATGTGGATATACAGGGGTTCATGTTTTGCATGTAGGAATGTTTATCTTAACTGCTGCAATTGTCTTTTTAAATGCACTGTATTTTACAGATAAAACTCGCTGTCTAATTAACAGAATGATATTGGAGGCCATTTGACGGTCACTTTGTACATGACACTAGTGTGTCAACTTTGTTTATCTGCCTGTTTCTATGTCTAAGGACTCAAAAATGCCAATAAGATAGCACTGTATATTACTTGCAGAAATAAAGAATACAAAAGTAAAGAAATAAAGAATACAAAACGAATCTAGTTGGAATCCCTTTTTAAGTTCTGAATGATTCATGTATGTAGCTTGTTGATCTAATACTCTATACCCAGGGGTTTTAACCAGAGTACTCCAGTGGATCTTTCCAGTGTTGGGGGGTAAACGCATTACAAGTAACGTGAGTTACATAATTAGATTACTTTTTTCAAGTAACTAGTTAAGTAATGCATTACTTTTAAATTTACAATAAAATATCTAAGTTACTTTTTCAAATCAGTAACGCAAGTCACTTTGTTTTTCCATTAATTGACTGAGACCTCTCCTGTCCCTATGTTGAGAGAAATCAGGAGTAAGTGCAGGTGTGTTGTGTGCACTGTGTGAACATGATTGTAGTTCTAGACTAAATGTGAGCATGCATTTACTCATTTTACTTGCAAATGAATAAAAAACTGAACTGCGAACTTAGAATATTACTCAGACCTGCAACAATTTAATGTTAAATAATACAAATACTTTGTGTATTTAATCTCACTTTATGAACCAATGTCTTTGCTGGTGACCTTTGATGACCCTCATATTCAAAAATGACTTATACATACACAGATAAACATCACATTTGTGTTTCATTGGCTACATCTGAAATCGCATACTTCCCTGCTATATAGTAGGCGAAAAAACAGTGTATGTGACAAAAGTATGTCCGAATTCACAGTACTCTTAAAATAGTACGCAAAAAGTACCCTTATGATACGACGGACACTTTACTATCCCATGAGGCCACGGGAGAGGATTATTTTTTTTTTTTTTTTTTTTTATTAATGCCAAGGTATCAAAAATACAAGTAGCCTACAACAATGTACAAATTACATACAACGAAATAATGAAAGCAATACAGCATACATATATACACTCATCGGCCACTTTATTAGGTACCCCATGCTAGTAACGGGTTGGACCCCCTTTTGCCTTCAGAACTGCCTCAATTCTTCGTGGCATAGATTCAACAAGGTGCTGGAAGCATTCCTCAGGGAGTTTGGTCCATATTGACATGATGGCATCACACAGTTGCCGCAGATTTGTCGGCTGCACATCCATGATGCGAATCTCCCGTTCCACCACATCCCAAAGATGCTCTATTGGGTTGAGATCTGGTGACTGTGGAGGCCATTTTAGTACAGTGAACTCATTGTCATGTTCAAGAAACCAATTTGAAATGATTAGAGCTTTGTGACATGGTGGAAGTAGCCATCAGAGGATGGGTACATGGTGGCCATAAAGGGATGGACATGGTCAGAAACAATGCTCAGGTAGGCCGTGGCATTTAAACGATGCCCAATTGGCACTAAGGGGCCTAAAGTGTGCCAGGAAAACATCCCCCACACCATTACACCACCACCACCAGCCTGCACAGTGGTAACAAGGCATGATGGTTCCATGTTCTCATTCTGTTTACGCCAAATTCTGACTCTAACATCTGAATGTCTCAACAGAAATCGAGACTCATCAGACCAGGCAACATTTTTCCAGTCTTCAACTGTTCAATTTTGGTGAGCTCTTGCAAATTGTAGCCTCTTTTTCCTATTTGTAGTGGAGATGAGTGGTACCCGGTGGAGTCTTCTGCTGTTGTAGCCCATCCGCCTCAAGGTTGTGCGTGTTGTGGCTTCACAAATGCTTTGCTGCATACCTCGGTTGTAACGAGTGGTTATTTCAGTCACTGTTGCCCTTCTATCAGCTCGAACCAGTCTGGCCATTCTCCTCTGACCTCTGGCATCAACAAGGCATTTCCGCCCACAGAACTGCCGCTCACTGGATGTTTTTTCTTTTTCGGACCATTCTCTGTAAACCCTAGAGATGGTTGTGCGTGAAAATCCCAGTAGATTAGCAGTTTCTGAAATACTCAGACCAGCCCTTCTGGCACCAACAATCATGCCACGTTCAAAGTCACTCAAATCACCTTTCTTCCCCATACTGATGCTCGGTTTGAACTGCAGGAGATTGTCTTGACCATGTCTACATGCCTAAATGCACTGAGTTGCCGCCATGTGATTGGCTGCTTAGAAATTAAGTGTTAACGAGCAGTTGGACAGGTGTACCTAATAAAGTGGCCGGTGAGTGTATATATAGCCTGTATGTATCCTCATACAAAAAAAATAAAATAAAAAACAGAAACTAATGCTTTAATAAAATTAATTAAAAAGTTTAAACAAGTTTATGGTCTTGAGAGCTTTAAGATTCTTAGATGATGAAATGCTTTGGATGTATTGTTGGACCTCTCTTCTAAAAACAATAAATAAGGTATTCTGCTGAGTAAATTTACTACAGTGAATGTGAAATTTTGCAAGGAACAATATAATAGATTAATAATAAAATACTCATTAAATTTAGCTTTTCGTATATTAAAGAAGCCAAACAGTACATTAAAGAGAAAGGAAAAATCCGGAAGCACATTGCGTTTAATAAAATGAGAAAATTCAACCCAAAATTATGAATGGCAGTGAAGCGACGTAACTGACGCTGCAGGTCACATGATAATAACAACATGGTGAATCTAGTCCAGATTACATTTAAACTACACACACTCATACTATATAGATAGAACATAATGTTTTTAGCGGTCGTGGAGTAATTACTTGTTCAAAATAGAGAGTATACGATTTCGGACGCAGCCTTTTTTTGTTGTTGTTTATTGCATAAGAGTTTTGAACTTTCCTCTTTCCTGTTTTCCTGGTTCCTTTTGCACAGGATTGAATTTGCATTTCCTTCAGCCTGAGGCTTATTGATTTCACTTTTATTGTAAAAGGGTCCTCCTTACACACGGTAAAAAATGATGTGATCAATAAGTTATGGCAACTTGTTTTACATCGCTTTAACTCATCAAAATAAGTTAAGCAATTTTCTACTTTTTTATCAGTTAAGCAGGATTCAACTCATTTTAATGTAATTTAAATTGAAATGACTTAACCTGTTAACTGTCACCCCCCTTTTTTTGAATAGACATGAAAATGCACATTTCGAACATAAATGGTTGTAATTCAAGAATGCTTTGGAATATAGACGTAAGATTGGTCTTGTTTTAAAGAAGATATTTGGCAGATTTATGTAGAAGTGAAATAAATTAAGAAAGTGAAACAGAAAAAAAGTTATAGAAGTTTGAGTTTATGGAAATGTACAATGTAAAAAAAAAAAATTATTAATATTTTATATAAAATATATATTTTCAAAACCTGGGCTACTCTCAAACTGCAGAAAAATCTAAGCCAATAATATGAACAAGTTGTGTTTCAAATTTTAGGTTGATATCTCAAAAAATGAGCTTTCAGTAAGATTTTGTTTGGGCGCAGTACCAAACTTTTTCACTAGGTCACAACCAGACTCCATTACTGCCCATATAAGGGCGCCCCCATTTCCATATGTGTTTTGAGTGATATGAACCATTATTTCCACAATTTTCAGTAGAGATCCTATTCAGAAGTAGTATGGGAAGTTTGGCAGATTTTGATATGAATTCAACCTCTAATAAACACATACAAAGAACACGCATGTGCGTCATAGCTCGCTGCCACATCACAAATGGTGAATTTATAATTTTTTTCTTTATATTTAAAACATTTTCAGACCTTTTTTTTCTAAAATAATTGAATGGATGCTATCTTTTGAACTCTTGGTATGAAAACAAACTAGGTTTCTAAAAAAAAATGCATGATTTTTCATGTTCATTGCTATTTCAAAATAAAGGTCTGAACACGCCTTAGGAGTATGAAAATATTCTTGTTCCAAATTGATAAATTACGGCTCCTCTGTAATTTATTTTGAAAATCAATCACCAAATATGGAAACTAGAGGTTGTAAGCTTTCAAATGATATATAGTTTGTCAATATTACTTAAGGTTTTCACTAAGATATTCTTGTTTTAAAAATATAATGGCAAACGTCCCACCTGTGGGACGGAAGTTGATTGTAAATATTTAAAAAATAAAAAAACAAACAAGCAAGCCCAGCCTATAGGTGAGAAAAAAGTAGCGCAAAATAACGTTATGCATTACCTTCTATAAAAAGTAAAGTTACTTTTTTAGGGGGTCACGCAAAATTGTTATGGATTACTTTCAAAAACAACTTTCCCCCAACACTGGCTCTTACTGTATATTTTCATGACATAAGTTTCTAACAAGTTGCTAACTTTCTAACTAATGATCTATTAAGCATTATGTAATGTAGTGAAGTCAGTTGTTGTTCAAAAATTAATAATCATATAATAATGATGTTCGTAAGTTAAACATTTATAAGAAGGTGTAAGGTGTTACAGAGAAATGTGGACAGAGAGCCTGAGTTGGAGGGTCTTTGGGTCTGTAAAGGTTAAAGTCCACTGCTACATGCACCAGTACCATG